TAGGAAAATCTTTGGTTCTCATACCATTCTTGCTTTTTTTGAAGCTGTCACCTATTACTGTTGGATCATGGGATGAGCAGAACTACCCAACACATGACAGCCCTGTGTCCAGCCAGTCCCACAAGTAGCCATTAGAGCCTCAGGCATTGCCAAATGCATTTTATTGGTCTATTATATTGAAGAGTATAGTTTCTGAGCAAAACAAAATCAACCAACCAGATGAACAAACAAACAAAAAACAAAAACAAACCCCAAACCCCATACACTCTGCTCCTCACAGGGCCAGAGTCACTAAGGCAGGCACACATTTGCCACCATTCTTGGTGGAGGCCAAGGAATCACGAACAACCAGGGTGGGCAATAGGGTGGGCTTGCCCCACACATGCCGTGCAGTATGGGGGCTAGGGAGGGCATGTGCTAGATGCAGAAGGCTGCTGGTCCTTTCTCATGTTTTCCAAATGCAGTCAGTCTTTGGAGCCAGGCAAGGTGTGGCCCCCAGGTCCCAGACCTGGCTTGCACGTGCTTGGGTGGGGGGGATGACAAAATAAGCAGCATGCCTATGCTTTGGGTCAAGGGTGTGCCTTTGGTGACACCCCTGCAAACTCCTGCAAGGGTCTTTCTGGGTTTCCAGGCCTCTCTCAGTGCCCCGAGAAGCATGTGGAAATTGGAGTTGGCCTTGCTTCTCACCAGGGATGAGAATACCCAGGCAATCCCACCTCCCTTGGCCCCAGGAACTCATAGATGTCTAGAACAGGTAATGAGTACTGAGAAACTCAGAGGCCTGTCCTTGGAAGGAGGTTGTGACAGGATTGCTTTCCTACAGAGTCTCCCTGGGGTCCCTCTGGAGAGCAAGCACACTCACCATCCTCCACACCCTCAGTGGGCAAATGTGCTACTTATACAGTCCTGGGGATTATAGTGCATAAAGCAAGGGCAGGGTGAGGGAGTGACACTGTACAGAAATGAGTGGGTGCTCTGTGTGGTGGGTGGGGAGCTCATGGGGTCACTCTGGTGGCCAGAGACTATGGCAGTGCTGCTGAGGTGGGCTGCTGTGACCCAGGGCCCACATCCGGCTGCCCCTGTCTTAGGAGAGCCTGGAAGGTTGCGCAGGTCACCTGGCCCCAGGACATATGCCTGAATAGTTGAGACCACAAAAGGTCTCAGGAGAGATATGGCACAGAGCTCCTTGCTCCATGCAACTCCTGCTAGATGAGGCTCAGGCCACTGTAGACTCCACTAACCTTACTGGACCCCAGGTTGACTGGAAGAGGAATTGGGAAACAGTCCAAGCTGAGGCTGCAGGTGGCAGTGGGGGCATTCTGTTGTTTGAGAGGGAAACAGAGTAGCTGTCCCCCAAGACAGCCACTCTCCCTGTGGCCAACCCTTCCCACCCAGTCATGATCTGCAAACATCCTGACCCCGACCTGCCCTGTAAGGAGGGCGACCACTGCCCATACTCACATCCCAGGCTCTCAGTCACTTTGTTAGGTTATACAGCTAGGTGGGCAGGGTGGGCAGGGGTGAGGGTAGGGGATGTGGGGTGAGGCAGCCTGGGCTGTGCTGACCTCCGCCTCTCCCTGCTGGAGCTCAGGGGCCTGGTACCTGGGCTCTCCACTTCGCAGCCTCTGGCTGCGGCTCTCACTTGGTGTCTATGAGCATCTGCACAGTGAGGAAGAGGTCCCGGGCAATTCGCAGGATCTCCTGGGCATCATGACGTTCGGCCCGCTCTGGGGGTAACATGGGTAATTGTGGAGAGGCTGGGGGGGGCCCTGTGGCTCACAAACATGCT